TAGTCCATCATGTCTTGTACGGACTTGGTTCCGAGTTCTGTGTCCCAATGTATATCCCATAGGAATTTATTCATCTCCTCATAGTTTGCCTTTCGGTACGCCAGCCCTTTGTTTCCCAGTTCTTTTTTGGGGGTGATAATTCCTAGCTCAACCAGGTATTCAAAGCTCAATACACTATGATCACTCATTCCCAAGGGGGCTTCCAACTTAACTTCCCTTATATCTGACTCATTTAGGGTAAATATCAGATCAAGCAAGGCTGGTTCATCTTCTCGTCTCATTCTTGTCGGTCCCTTGACGTGTTGACTTAGAAAGTTTCTTGTTGCCACATCCAGCAGCCCATGTGTCTAGGCCTCCATGTGGGTCTCTGTTCCCCCAATCTATCTTCCCATGGTTGAAGTCTTTCATGATTAGTAGTCTGGATCCGTTCCTGCTAGCCACAGAAGCTGCTCTGTCTATTATATTGATGGTGGCCAAGTTGTTTCTATCATATTCCTGTCTGGGTCTTCTGTCATTCGGTGGGGGGTTATATATGACTACAGTACTACTATAATTTTCTGTCCTCCAGTTGCTATGGTGCCTGATATGTAGTCACTGAAACCTTCACAGTTCGGAATTACCATCTCTTTGAAACTCCAACCTTCTCTTAGTAGCAAAGCTACACCACCACCTCCTCTCCCTTCGCTCTCTTTCCTCACTACATAGTAGCCCTGTGGAAACACTGCGTTTGTTATGGTGTTTGTTAGCTTTGTTTCTGTGAGTGCTATTATGTCTGGGTTTTCTTCTAGGTGCCCATTCTCCGAGTTCACTTGTTTTATTTGTAATCCCATCTATGTTAGTGTACATTGCCTTGAAGCTCACTTTCTTCTGTTCATTTTCTTGTCCCTTTCTTGGTGAGCATTCTGCTGGTGTGGGAAGCTGTTCCATGGGTGAGAAGATCTGTGAGGTGGTTTGCAGGGTCTCGGAGGATTTTTGGGGTGGGGGGTGGGGGTTTAAGGGTAGGGGGGACAGGTAGGGTGTGGGTTAAGGAGATAGGGGGGACATGGAGGATACATTCTGTGATAGAATGGGAAAGTTTTCCACCAGTTTGTGAACTCTCGACGTCGTAAGCAAATCCGAACATCCCCCGCTTTGGCGAACCATTGTTCGTTGAACCAGGTGAGTAAATCCGTCCTGAAAAGTGTGCGAACTAGCCGGAGATTCGTTGAATCGGGGTATGTTGAATCGAGGTTGTACTGTATGGTATTGGGAACACAACTTGAGTACCTCTCTCCAGCACTATCACCCAGATATGATGCTGTGATCATGCTGCCCTCCAAGCTGTCATGACAATGTGCTCTTCACACCACTCCCACCTAGTTGTTGGTAAACACAGGTGCCCAAGCATCCTGGCACACCTAAATACCTCATCCACTCATTGGATGAAAAAACTTATAGGTTTTGCAAAGGCAAAAGACTTTACAAAGGCGTTCGATAAATGTGGCTATGGAGTGATAGCACACAAAATGAGGTCAATTGGAATAACTAGTAAAGTAGGACAGTGAATGCTTAATTTTCTGTCGAACAGGACAAAGAATAATAGTCAACCATATAAAATCGAGTCCAAGCGCAGTTAAAAGCTCTGTACCTCGGTACAGTCCTTGCACCATTGCTTTTCCTTATTCTCGTATCAGATATGGTATAGACAATAATACAAGTCACAGCTTCATATTATCCTTTGCAGATGACGCAAAAATCGGCATGAAAATTAGCTCTGCTGAAGACATTGAAAAAACTATAAGCAGATATTAACACTTTGATGCTCTGGGTGCGCGTGCACCGCATTATCCCTGGTGGGTTTGGGCATTCCGCGGGAGCGTGCAGTAATTCTGAAAAGTGTATACTCTTTTCAACTTTGTTACCTCAATTCTCGTCCTAGGTTTTTCAATTTGGTATCATTGTGTTCGCAAACGAATTTTCTACAGAATTAAAGGCATATAAAGTCCAAAAGCCTGGCGTACCATCCGCAACAAACAGAGAAAGTGAGACTAAGTTACCCGGGAGCGAGCAAGAGCGATAAAATGTTTACACTCTTTTCAGTTATGTCACCTCAATTCTCATCCTAGGTCTTTCATTTTGGTATCAATGTGTTTGCAACAGAATTCCCAACAGGAGTACAGTGGCACCTTGACTTACGATTGCCCCTACTTACGATAATTTTGAGTTACGATGTAAACAATGTTTGCACCATGTTTGCACAAGTTTACGTTTTAGATCTCTCCTTTTTGTTGTTTTACAAACTAAGCAATCACATTGGCCTATTGCACGCTTTCCAGCTGGTGGCAAATGTTTAAGTCTGTGTGCTTGAAAGGCCTCCATGTGAGGGAGCCTGGGTGTAGCAGCATGCTGCAACACTGGGTTCATGATGGGTCTTTGTATGCCAGGAGCATCTTTGCCAAACTTTACTAATAACTGTGTCGCAGGTGTAAAAGTAAACGAACGGAAACTTGGTTTTCGTCCAGTTTTCACCAGATACATATTGTAGCAGTTCAGCATGCTCATGTCAACAAGATGAAAAAACACTTTTCATCCACTTTAATGTTTTCTGCACACACTTGATAGTGCCCACCATCGTGTCAGATTTATCAACCAAACGCATGTTGATGATATAGTCAAGAACACAATCAGGCTTTATATACTATATCTTGCGTTACTTGGTTAACCTTGCCACTGTTCACCATTGTACCCTCATGAACGGTTGTCAGCAAGTTCACTTCTCTCTTGTCTTTCCACCTAACTGAGAGTATTTGATCACATTTTCTTAGCTCGCAGTCACCAACTTCAAGTTTATTTTCAAACACTGGCATTTCCTTTCTTCTTGGCTTTATTGTGCCAACCAATCCAGTTCTATTTTCAATCAAAAGCCTAGCTAGCAAGGGACTTTTATAGTAATTATCCATGTACAAAATGTGGCCCCTTGTTAGGCCAAAATGTCTAATTGTCTAATTAGGCCCCATGGTGCCATCAGTGACTTCACCACACTACCTGAGAAACCATCTTGGTCGTTTCCGTGAATGTCAACATCGCTAGCAGAATACAAAATCCTGTGTAACACATAACCTGTCTCACAGTCACAAAGAACAAAGAATTTCAATCCAAATCTGTTGTGTTTGGAGGGAATATACTGCTTGAATGCAACATGTCCTTTGAAAAGCACAAGGTCAATCATTAGCTTCTGTGCTGGTACGTAGAAATCTCTGAACTTTCCAATAACTTCATTCATGTAATGCCTGACTCGCCAAAGTCTTATCATCCTCTGTCCGGTCTTCATTACTTGCAAAATGTAGACACCTGAGGAGTATCTGAAACCTATCTCGGGAGATATATTTCCCAAAGAAAGGTGTTGGAATAGTCTGGTCTTTGCTCCAATAATCAGTGATAGGGTGTTTGACACAATGCTTCATCAACATACATATTGCTAAAAATACATACATCTCACCTACAGTTGTATTTTTCCAACGCTGCAATCGTGAATATTCTGTGATCTCTTTTCCAATGAGATGAGCCGCATGAAGGTTTGTTTAGTGTACAATATATTCCATCAGCGGCTCATCATAAAATGCTGTAAAATATGCCATTTCACACATGTTGTTACCATTATCCGGGAAAAGGTCTGTAATCCCAACGTCTATTGTCAAAGGCAGGAATTAGAGGAATAAAATCGTCACCATCACTCCACACAAGTACACCTGGTGTCTTGCTAGAAGCAACAGACACACGACTGCAAGGAAGCGATGCACACCGTGGACCAGGAGCTGAAGCCCGTCTATGCAAAGTACTGCCGCCATGTGCGTGTGGGGTGAAAGCAAGTGAATATGAGGGTCTTGGTTCCTCATGTTGCTCTATTGCTTTGTGTAACAAGAACATCTTTGCCAAACTTTACTAATAACTGTGTCGCAGGTGTAAAAGCAAACGAACGAAAACTTAGTTTGTGTAACAGGAACATCTTTGCCAAACTTTACTAATAACTGTGTCGCAGGTGTAAAAGCAAACGTAACGCATAGTGTTACTGCGGTGGCGTTTGGCTGGGCGAGACGTTGCTGACGCGACAAATTCTCGCCCGGTAACACCACTGGTACAGGTACTAGCAACAGGCGCAGTAACACTATGCTCTGAATCCACTTCACTAAATCCTGAAAATGAGTCACCTTCCTCTGACTCATCACCCAAAATATCCTCATACTCTAAATAAGCACAGGAACTATGTGGGCGTGGGTGGATTGGGGTAGACACTGGGCGAGGTGGCATGGGTGAGCGTGTAGGCCTTGCCATGGAGGGGGAATGTAGGCCTCGCATGGATTTTCTTCTGTTATTTTAGAAATCGAATAGCAGTTACCGGACCCGTAGTAATTCTTCATGAGAGCTGTATCACATTTTCACTGTCTGTGCTACTATCATCGGTCAATTGTGTATAGTCCTTATCATTGTCAGAATCATCAAAATGACTTTCCTCACCATCAGAAAATAATTCACTAGTTATTTGCTCTTAGGTAAGTGATTGCGTGGTGCGTGCCCTGGATGCGTTTGGCTCTGCGCTTGCCATGGTGACAGTTGGTTAACTGAGGCCTCCCACGCATTGGTAGCATGAGCTGGATTTTTTTTACAAAATGGCTGCCCCTGGGCAGCGTATGGAGACCCTCCCCTACCCAGCTGGCCGTTCAAATCTTGTGCCGTACTCCAACACGTCATATGACATGATGCTCAATTTATTGCAAGTTACTCAACACATCATATGACGTGTTGCGCAGTTTAAGGGTTAATCTAAGACTATCAAACAAATTTTTGCACCTTGAGGTGTTTGGTTAGTTACAGTGCCTGGACATATTAAAATTATTGGCATCTCCAACCACGTTGCAGCTTTGTATGTTACATCTCTAATGTTTTTGTTTATTTTCTGCATTATTAATTACAATGGTAGCAATCATGAAGATAATAGTAATGCTAAATTTGTCCTTCACCAGGATGAATGAATATAAAAGAAAGAAACGTCTTGAGTACCAGAGAAGATGGATGCGTGTGTCAGAAATGCTGAAGAGAATTAACAAAATGAAGACTAGTTCTGCATACACCATTGATGTAAGTTATTCTTGGTATTCTCTGAACGTGACTCTCAAGTAATTACTGTCTATATAAATATTGTGCTGTAAGTACATTGTATATACAAAATGTTTTAACCAGCATGGATTTTCTTGTTTTTTTTTTTTAGAAATTGAAAAGCAGTTACCGGACCCATAGTAATTCAGAAAGCAGAACCCTTAATGAAGAATTACCTGACAACGAAACATGGCGTAGGCTAAGTTTGATATCAAGTACTGAAGTGCATGTTATTTCCCACTGGGAGAATAAAATAATAATAGAAATACAAGTTGTACAATCATCGTATTTTGCACTAGATAGCATTATGTAGAATTATCATTCACACTCCAGTAAATCCTCTGCAGTAGCAACCCCCCCCCCCCCCCCCCCCGCATTGCTTAACCCTTAAGCTGCTATGGGCCTAATGGCCTTCAACACCACCAGGCGCAAACAACAACAACAAAAGTTATTAAAAAAATCTTGAAAGAAGTGTTCATTTGTGTTCCCTGAGCACGGGAAAAATAATAAAAAAAATTAATTGTACTACTGTACTTGCCAATGACATAATTGAGCCAAGAAGTTGGCAAATGACGTCACACATCTTGCTCACTCATGCATGATGCGTCCGGGGAAGTGTCGTGCATGGAGTTCAAGCAACCAGAGTTGCCACAAATTTATTTTCACTGCATTTTTTACAGTATCTATAGTGTATTTTACAACCACTTTTTTCACTGATATTGTTCAATATATTTTCACTTGATGTATTATAATACAACTGTTATAAGTTCAATACACTATAAATTCAATGCACTATCACATATTAGTGTCACAAGTATGTACACACAAATGTGTTATTTTACAGGAAATATAAAATATATTCTGCTTTTTTGTCAATACAGTATATATATATACTGTACAGTATACACTCAATATGTACATGTTTGTGCACAATTATTGGACAATTAGTAGTCCTGGACAGTATGATATTCTTTGAAACAGGTGACATGGCACAAAGGGACGGCACACACTGGACACCATGTTTGCACCCATTTATGTGTCTGTTGCCTCTTTTGTGTGGTCTTACACACAATGCACGCACGCTGGCCTACTGTACGTTTTCCAGTTGGTGGTAAATTCCTTACTGCGTGCACCGAAAGCCTTCCCTGTAAGCCAGCCTAGGTGTGGGAGCATGGTGCAGTAATGGGTTCACAATGGGCCTTTGTATGCCAGGAAGTGGTTTGCCAAACTTTTATAGTAATTGTCACTACAACAAAACTGAATGCACGGTAGTTTGGTTTAGCACCTGTTTTGACAAGATACATAGTGTAACTGTTCAGCATTGTTACGTCAAGAAAGTGGAAAAACATCTTCTTGGTCCACCTCACTGTTTAAAGTACACACTATAGCACCCACCATCATGTTACATTTAACAACCAATTGCATGTTTGTGAGAGTCCATAACACAATCTGGTTTATATATTAGTTGTTTTGTTCGCCTTGTCACTGTTCAGTATTGTACCAGTGTGAGTGGTGGTCAACATGTTCACTTCACGCTTGTCTTTCCACCACACTGAAAGCATTCCACTAGTTTTTCTTGGCTGACAATCACCTATCACAATAACATTGTCAAACACCGGCATTTCCCTTTGTTTTGTCTTGACTGTGCCACACACTCCAGTTCTATTATCAAGCAAGAACATAGCAAAGGATCTGTATAATAGTTATCTGTGTATAATATGTGGCCCTTGTTCAGCCATATTGCCAGCAGTGTCTTCACCACATTACCTGAAAAACCATGTTGGTCATTAGCAGGAATGTTTTCAGAATACATAAGCATGTGTAACACAATTCCTATTTCACAGTCACACAGTACAAAGAATTTCAATCCAGATCTGTGAGGTTTGGAGAGAATATACTGCTTGAAGGTAACACATCCTTTGAAAAGAACAAAGGATTCATCAATCAGCTTCTGAGCTGGTACATAGAAATCTCTGAACTTTCCAACAAGTTCATTCAGAATGTGCATCACCCTCCAAATCCTGTCATTCTCTGTCTCGTCTTGATCACTTGCAAAATGAAGACACTCGAGGATTATCAGAAACTTGTCACGAGACAAATTTGCCGAACAATGGTGTTGGAACACATTGGTCTTTGCTCCAATAATGGCTGATTATGTGCTTGACACAATGTTTCATCAACTCACACAGTACCAAGAATATGTACATTTCTCCCACATTTGTATCATTCCATCGCCGCAATTGGAATATTCTGATAACTCCTCGCTTCCAATGAGATAAGCCGCGTACTTGTTCGTTTCCTGAACAATATGTTCCATAAGCGGCACATCAAAATAAGCGGCAAAGAATTCTGTTTCACTCATGCTGTCACCTGTATTCGGGAAAACGTCTGTAATCCCAACATTTACATGGTCAAAGGCGGTGGTTTCTGGAATAAAATCTTCACCATCACTCCAGATAAATATACCTGGTGCCTTGCGAGATGCAACACCGACTCAACGGTGAGAAATTCATGGACCAGGAGCTGAAGCCAGTTTACGCACAGCAGGGGTGGGAACCAAGGATGATGGAAATTTACATGAAGATGAGGGTACTTCATTGTCACTATGTGGTGCCCTGCAGTGCCCTGCGGTGGTGCTTGGCTAGGCGAGATGCTGCCGACTCGTCAAAACAAAGTTTGGTAACACCACTGGCACTAGCGACAGGCATGGTAACACCATTCTCTGATTCTACCTCACTAAAGTCAGAAAATGAGTTGCCTTCAACAGACTCGTCGACCAAAACATTATAATCTGGCAAGGTAACACATGAACTGTGTGGTCAGACACAAATTGGTGGCGAGTGAGGGCCTACTAGGCCTGGTCCTCGTGGCACCCACATGTTCACTTTCACTGTCAGCCATATCCACATCTTCTGGTTGTGTGTAGTTAAAACCTATGTTTCAGTTATTACTATCAGGTTCATCACCCTCCTGGAACACTTTCTGATGAATTTCATCCAAATGGCAAAGATTGGGTTGCGTGGCGCGTTGAATGAGGTCGGCCGCTGGTATGTGGTGCGCTCGACATGGTATCTGTCGTGAAATTAAGGCCTCTGCACAATGGCGGCCCACTCTGGATTTTTTCCAAAATGGCGTCTGTTTACTATGGCCCAAGGCTAGCGTATGGGTGCCCCCCTTTACCTCGCGAGACTTAAATAGTGTGTGGCACCCTCAATTGTGTGAGTAATTACCTAAGTGTAGTCCAGTATGTTTCTGTGAATAATACAATTTCTCCCACCCTACCCATCAACATTGGTGTTCCTCAGGGCAGCATACTTGGCCCTCTCCTCTTTCTCATCTACATTAATGACCTTCCAAATGCCTCCCAACACCTCAAACCAATTCTATTTGCTGACGACACAACCTTCATTTACTCCAGTCCTGACCCCCTTGCTCTAAATGCCACAGTAAATACTGAGCTAAATAAAGTCCATCTTTGGCTAACTGCCAACAAACTCACCCTTAACATTGACAAAACTTTCTATATTCTGTTTGGCAATAAATCCTCTAATCAAATAAATCTCAAAATAAACAATACCCAAATTTGTAACAAATTAGATGGCAAATTCCTTGGCATTCTCATTGACCACAAGCTGAATTTCCAGGGACACATTCTAAATATATCAAAAAAAGTTTCAAAAACTGTGGGCATTCTTTCTAAGATCAGATATTATGTACCCCGCCCTGCCCTGGTGACTCTCTATTACTCCCTTATCTATCCATATCTCAACTATGGTATTTGTGCTTGGGGCTCTACTACCCAAAATCATTTACATCCACTAATTACTCAACACAAAGCTGCTATTAGGACAATATCCAACTCTGGCCCTAGACATCACTCGGTACCCCTACTCAAATCTCTGAATATGTTAGACATTAAGTCACTGCACATTCTCTCATGTGTATTATACATATATAAAACACTAAACTGTAATGCCAATCCTGACCTCAAAAGCTTCATAGAAGGTTGTAACAGAACCCATGAGCACCACACCAGAAATAAATACAGTTTTGATATTCCTAGAGTACGACTTAATCAAACTAGAAATGCTCTACAAATCAAGGGGCCCAGAATGTGGAATGACCTTCCCGACCATGTTAAAGACTGTACCTCTCTCAACCAGTTTAAGATAAAAACGAAGCTATACCTAATAAATTCCCTGTAACCTACCTTACCCCTCTATTGTCAACCAATGTCTGTTTTTTTTTAAAGAGAGCTGTTTGTCGACAGAATTGTATTTGTGCTGCTTTTTCAGCTATGTTTTCATTTCTTGTTTTCATTTTACTCTTTATGCTCAATTAGTATTAAGCTTTAGTCAATTAAGTTTTTCATGCCCGAAACGCTTTGCGTAATAGTGGCTTTAGGCATTGAATGTACTAGCTCTATCTATAAGTCCACCAATCTTTGTAAAAATTTCTTGTATGTATGTACCTTACCTAAATAAACATTTATTTATTTATTTATTAGTTACGGGATGAGAGCTATGCTCGTGGTGTTCCGTCTTCCCAGCACTCTTTGTCATATAACGCTTTGAAATTACTGACGGTTTTGGCCTCCACTACCTTCTCACCTAATTTGTTCCAACCGTCTACCACTCTGTTTACAAAAATGAATTTTCTTGTATTTCTCCGGCAGCTTTGTTTCGTTAGGTTAAATCTATAACCTCTTGTTCTTGAAGTTCCGGGTCTCTGGAATTGTTCCCTATCAATTTTATCAATTCCTGTTACTATTTTGAACGTAGTGATCATATCGCCTCTTTTTCTTCTATCTTCTAGTTTTTGCATATTTAATGCCTCTACCCTCTCCTTGTAGCTCTTGTCCTTCAGTTCTGGGAGGCACTTAGGGGCATGTCTTTGCACATTTTCCAGCTTGTTGATGTGCTTCTTAAGATAGGGGCACCATACAACAGCTACATATTCCAGCTTTGGTCTTACAAAAGTCAAGAACAATTTCTTTAGTATTTCACCATTAAAGCAATTTTGAAGTTACAAAATGTAGCATAGGCTCCTCGCACAATGTTCTTAATGTGGTCCTCAGGTGATAGTTTTCTATTACTATCTAGAACCATCCCTAGATCCCTTTCTTTGTCAGAATTCTTTAAAGATTTCTCACATAATTTATAGGTTGTGTAGGGGGTCTATGTTCTATTCCACA